CAAAATCCATCGGGACCAGGGTTTCTTCAAAATGGGGCGACGAAAATGAAAAAAGACGGGTTTTCTGGAAAAAGTGCAGCAAGTTCGTCCAACAAATGAAAACATTTCAAAAATTTCATCTTGAATCATCCAATGGTATATGAAAAGTGCATTTCGCGGCATCAATGTTATGGCATGTTGGAGGGCATCTGGGGACATGCGATATGACGGCGGGTTGGCTGTCATGAGTTGTCGAGCATTTCAAGGGCCACAGGTATGAGCCTAGCCTGCTCAAGGGATTGTACATATTCACGGTTATAAGCTGAATACTAAAAGGTTTGGAGCGTACGTATTTCGACGAATGTTGACACCATTTTCATCCGTTTTAAAGATCAGGGGACCGCATGCCCCGACCGGCCCCAGAACGGCGGATGGGCGGAGTACAGGAGCTCATCACCGGAATAGTTTCGCGAGTATTGATGCAGGAAAATTACTTATTCAATTCGATGGTTACTCATACCATCTTTTCCGACGCACACGGTGCCCCATCTCCACGGGTGCAAACGCAATTCTCCCAACATCTTTGTCGGGCTCTACATCAAATACGCCTACCTTCACGTCTCCAAGACGTCTCGAAATCTCCTCGCCGCTCTCGGTGCTCTTCCAACGCGGCGCCATGTCGGCGAAGTAGGGCGAGTCCCTGACCAAGCTTCCGACATACCCCAGAACCTGCGGCGCGATGGTATAGTACCGTATCACAACACCCCCTATGGCCGCCAGCAGCATGATGAGCGTGGACACAAAGTAGATTGCGACCCACGCCTCGTCGATGACGTACACGGCCGGTAGCGGCGAGGTCATGGCAGCCGTGGTATTGAGCAGGACGGACTCGTCCACGACGGAGGCGGCGCCCAGCACGGCCATCGGGTCGACCGTCGCGTCGAGGAACGTGTTGAAGAGCAGGCCCAGCCGGTCCGCGAATACGGGCATCGGCAGCTTGCACCACTCGACGTACTTCTTGCTCAGCTCGTGGTTGAAGGCGCGCGTGGGGTTCTCGACGAACTCCTCGGAGAAGGTCGTGAAGCGCGTGTCGGTGTCCTTGCCCATCTTGGGGAACTTCTGCGCCGCGTAGTAGGGGACTGTCGTCCCGATCAGCCGGTTGGTGAAGGTGGTGACGCCGGGCGGGCGCGGAGGGCGCGGCATCTGGCGGATGCGTGTGGCTGCGCATTGGGATTTGCCGGCGATCCCGCGCGACTCACACGCGATTTCGGCTTCGATGTAGACGGTCCGGACGGGGCAGGATGTCATGCACTGCCCGCACTCGAGGCCGCCCAGGGTCCCGAGGAAGATTGTCGAGTTGGCGGAGTCGGGACCAGAGGAATTGTAGGTCGTGTTGTAGTCCATGGAGAAGGAGTAGTCGTAGGACGTCTTGTAGCTTCCCTCCCGCCGGTTGCTGTCGAAGAAGTCGAATGAGGCGTTGTTGTACGGCGGTTCGTCTAGGCTGACGTTGTACCTGGTGGCGAAGGACTTGTAGTTGGCTGCGAACCACGCAGCCATGGCCTTAGAAGAAATGTCAGTTCCGTCTGAAGACCAAAACATGGGAAGGGTCTGGCTGGAAGACGTTCGACCGCTTGAACTGACCTCGGTATTGTTGTGCAGATCATCCTGGCACAACCACTCCGCGCACTACACCCCACATCCATCAGTACTCCAAAACCAAGGAATTACCACTGCAAGAGTTCTTACGTCGTAAACTTCCATATAGCTAGCCTCAATCGTAAACGTCACGTTCCCCACAAACTCCGGCCTCAGCCCATGATATCGATTCCCAATCAGGCTGCTGTACTCCTGCACGCTCTCCCTCCACGGCACCGCAAGCCACTCCTCCGGCCGCGCCGCGTCGTACCCGGGCGCGTGCTTCAAACTCGGGATCCGGGGGTTGCCCCACGGGTCCATCGCGACCTGCTCCGCCGCCGCGCGCGTCCCGCCCATCCGGGCGATGAGGTCCGTAAAGTTGGCGCCGCACGTGCCGTTGCAGTACTGCGTCTGCGACGTGGTCGACGCCAGCACGCTCGAGTACGCGATCTTGGACGCCGGGCTGATCCACGACCAGCCCGAGGCGCCCATGAGCGCGCCGACGCCGAGGGTCTCGACGGAGTAGTTGCGGTAGCCGAGGGTTGCGGTCGCGGTCGCGGACTGCGGGTGCAGGTGCAGGCTGCGGAAGGAGGCCTGGGAGCCGAGGGGGTTGAAGGCCCAGATGAGGACGAGGGAGACGGTCCAGAGGTTGAAGATGGAGAGGGTGTAGACGGAGAGGATTGTGTTTGCCATTGTCAGGGAGCCGAGGATCTGCTCCAGGGACTAATTTTGTTGTTTGAGTGTGAGATTTCAAGTTAAAGAGGATGAATGGGGGGGGATGACTTACCAGTAAGGATGTGCCTTTCTCAACGCGCCAGTTTGCGTATGCTTTGAGGGCGTTGCCTATGACGCCGGAGAAGATGACGGGCCACAGTGACGGCGCCAGCTCCGTTGCTGCGACCACTTGTCTTGACCATCTCGACTCTTCTTCCCCTCGAAGACGGACAACGCAAATTCCGAGGGCTGATATTATATATGCTGTCAGTTCCCCGTATCACGTACACTCATGAGAGAGAACCAACCGATAAAGCATATTGCAAGAAGCATGCTGAGAAAATCACCGAGGAATCGGTACCACGGCAGCCCGTTCCAGTTGATCAGCGACGAGTCCTGGACATGCCTCGTTTCCGGGAGATCCGGGGTCTCCCTGACGTTTCCGCTGGGACCCGATTTGCTGTTACCAGAACTTTCATGAACCGCTGCATTGGGAGAGTCGTACGCCGCCGGCGGATCAGCTATAGAAAAGAGAAGGTAGTCCGAGCTTGAATCGTGGACCGTCGAGCTGCGATCCAAGGGCTTACGCCTGAACTCTCTCGGCACGCCAGAGTCTCCCGCTTCGTTCCTGGAAGACACCCTCCTGGACGGGTCCGGGTAGGAGATAAGGTGATATGTCGCATCTTGTCGGGCGTCCATTTTTGCGCCACAACCGTCCAAGGCGGTCGAATCAGGCTCACAAAGAGGTGAGCTACACAACTATATACACATCTGCTGTGGGGATCGTCAAATCAGGCTGCAGCGTCTCACCCAGATCCTGACCCAGTACCACCCCGACCAACCCCGCAGCTTTTTTGGCGGCTTGGTAGTTTAATTGGACGTAAGATTTATTTAGCAAGGCCAGAAGCGAGAAAAAAAAAAAGCAAGGGTGGTGATGAAACGATGTAAGCAGAGATCGGCGAATGGGGCACCCTTGTCGCGGCGGGTTTCTGGACTTCTACGTGATGCTGTGGAATGATCTGTTAGTGCGAGGTTCTTGGCACGCTGGAATCTTTTGCTTATTGGGTAAACTGATATGTGTGTCAGCTGCATCTACTGAGCACTGCATATGTGCAGTGAGGCCTTCTCTCAACTTTAGAATCAAGGCAACATTGCAATTGCGTGGGTAAAAACATACCGAAGAGATTTCTCTCGCAAAAATGACCATAGTGCAAGTATGTCTGTACAATCGGCATGAAAGGCTTGGATTCTTGCCGATAGAATACATCGACTCTGAGTGTGGCTTGCAATCCATCATGTATCGGGTGACGCCTATCGAAACACCACACCACATATAACACTTTTACCTAGCGAAAAGGGTTTCTGATTAGGGAAAACAGGATGAAATTAGGGCATCCTGCGAATTTCAGGTAGTCCAGGTCACCATCTGTCCAATGGGATATAAGTAGCCGTTAAGTCTGGCCTGCAGCCTGTTGATGCCAGCAGTCGTATAGTTGCCAGTCAGGGTAAATCGAAAGAGATGAAATCTTCTTCCCGAGTCAATTTCAGACCGTCAGAATACATACATATGGCCAGTTCAGGATTGCTCTGCACCGCATATGTTCCAAGACATATGAATGTGGTTGTTCTGTTCGACTAGACGACGAATGCTCGGCGAACTTAGTATCCGGGTGGAAGGCGTGCGAGAACCGCTTGCCGCTTCTGCTCCTTATGCTGTTTTAATGATCCCTCTACTACCTTGCTTTGCATATTCTTCTTCAGAACCTTGAATCCTGATGGCTGTCAAACTCAGTAAATTGCAAAACACGCCAGATTGGCCATGGGCGTAGATGGTCAAAACCAGTTGGACGTAGACGAATGAAAAGCCCAAGAGTGCGCAGACTGGTCCTGAGCTCTTTTGAACTCAGATTTCGGTCTTTCTAGCTTTTCAGAAGACAGAGAGTAGGTAAGAATGAACAGCATCAAAAGTCTTCGACCGTAATTCCCGACGCATCTAATGTTTAATAAGCCAGCAAGTTCTTGTTACTTCGTGAGATATCAAAATACGGATTTTAGAGTCCTTCGACCACACCTGTACTTGGGTCTCCAGCATCACGTCGAGAGTACGAACCTCGGCGAGTCGATTTGTTTGTCGTTCAACTCTCTGGGTGTATCACACGTGCCAACTGGAGCGATATCACGCAACTTTGTGAAGGTGCGTACGATGGGAGATACTTCAAAGAGAGCACATATGCGGTCAACATCTATTATCCAGGTATCCCGAATCCATCCACGTCTTCAACCTTTAGTCGTCCCATTATGAGTGCGATTCACCGCGGAGCAGACAACCAGCCTAACATGACATTTGGAGGGATTCACCGCCTACCCGTACACTCCGTAAAGGTGCCAAATATGCATCGTGCAAATGATGGGAAACCTGCTGGGTCCATCGCTTTTCGAAACTCAAAATGCCGTCACCGAAATAACTACCAACACAGCAATGGTCTCTGGCCCATCTATGTCTCTGTTTCTCAGAAAGGTCAGGTTCCGTGCCATATCTCTCCTGACGGGAAAGAAATCTTGCCAAGAATCCTTTCTCCTTTCCCGTCGTCATCCTCAGTGTGTCAAACCACTCTGATAGATATCACATTCCACCATACCCCTGACCTCCATCCAAGCAACCACCCGTCACGATGTGCTCCCTCGGCCTCCCAGGACCCAACAACTTCCCCCCCGCCAACCCCCTTCTCAACCGCGCATTCTCCCACTTCCTCTCCCACCACAACCTCACCCCAATCTGGTCCCGCCCCCTCCGCCCGGCCACTTTCTACGCCCACACCTCCACCCACCTCGCCGCAGCCCGCCTCGCCGAGGAAGACAACATCACCGCCCTCTGGCTCGCCATCCTCTCCGCCCACATCCGCGAGATCGTCCCCAAGTACACCCCCGACGAGCTCCTCATCCGGAAAGCAGCCTTCGCCATCTCCGTCCACCACGAGTGCACCGTCCCGACCCGCGAGGAGGCCATCGCCACCCTCGCCGCGCGGAACTGGAGCGTCCCCTGCAGGCGCATCCCCATCCCCGCCGCCGCCGGCCGCGCGCTCCCCGTCGTCGGCGCCCTCGCCAACACGCGCTACTTCCTCGGCTTCCCGCCCGGCAGCCCCATCCTCGCGTACCGGAGACTCAGGAGCCTCGAGCCTCATGACGCGCGCAACTTTGCGTACAAGGGCCGCGTGCCGCACCCGCCCGCCGTGCGCATCGCGCGCATGCAGCACCTCGCGGGACAGGTTGCATCGCAGGTCATCTCGCTGCTAGCCTTCGATCCGGACGCACCGAACGACTTGAAGCCAGAGTACGCAACGCTGCTCACTGCGGATTTGGACGACGGCGTTTCTGTTAGGGATGTCCACGCCCGCTGGATCGCGCGGTTCGAAATGGGCCAGCGGACGGCGTACTCCCACGCCCTGCGCACCTCGCCCGCCGTCAAGGAGCTCGAGTCGCTCATCCTCTCGACGAAGCGTGAAGAAATGGCGGACGAGGAGTGGGCGGTGCTAGCTGCGCTGGCGGACGTCGTGACATGGGACCGGCCGACGGGGGAGCACCCCGTGGTTTGGTTGCATGTGATCGCGAAGACCTACCACACCGACGAGGCGAAAGAAGTAATTTCCAACATATTCGAAGGCGGTTTCATCAAAAATGTGTTGGTGTACCACGCAGATATCCTCCTAGGAAAAGTAAGTAACCCTTTCCCTCTTGTCCTGACTTACACGAAGCAATGTGATGTAGTCAAAGCTCAAGCTGGACCCCTGCCCTCCCCAAAGCTCCACTTACCCCAACCCGCCGCCGGTGCATGCACCCTCGGCGGGCGGAACAACAATTCACCACCGCCTTTCTAAAATTTCCCAAGCACCTCAGCTAACCACCACCACCTCCACAGACCATCCACGAATACTACGCCGAAAACTACACCGGCGCCTACGTCGACGACCGCGCCCTCTTCGTCCCAGACACCATCCGCAACCGCGTCGATATCGCCCCCGTCGCCGACCGCCTCCGCGCGCAGCTCCTCCGGCCCGCCGACCCCCCCAAGCCGGAGTCGGACGACGACGACGACGACGACCAAGGACTCTCCATCACGGTCAAAACCGACGACGACAGCCCGCCAACAACAGCAACAAAGCCCTCACACGACACATCTCCATACATCCCTCCCGCTCCCCGACGACCACGGGCCCGCAAACAACCACCCTCAACCACCACCCGCGTCCTCCGCTCCCGCCGGCAATAATGTCGACCCCCCTCTCCCTCCGGGGCCTCTTCCGCCCAACCACCACCCTCACAACAACCTTCACAACCACAGCAACCCGCGCCTTCACAACAACCCCGGCCCCCGCCCGCCGCGGGGCCAGCGTCTCCGCCGCGACGCCCGAATACGCCAAAAAGATCCTCAACCTCAAGCAGCACCTCTTCGCCCGCGCGCCCCCTCCCCTGCGCATGGCCCGCAACCGCCACCTCCGCCACTGGACCATCCACCGTGCCTGGCTCCTCCTCCAGCGCCAGCAGCGCGAGGCCCGCGAGCGCGAGCTCTACCGCATGCACCAGGGCATGTACAACGCCGCCGAGGAGCTGCGCCACACCGCCGGCCCGGGAACGAGGGACGAGGGCTGGCTGTATCGCATTTCTCAGGAGAAGAAGGGCGTCTACGGGGCCGGCGCCGTGCCGATTGAGTATGCGAGGTACCAGACCGAGACTCCGGCTAGGGTTGCGTGGAACCATGATTGGAAGAGGTAGACGAAGGGGGATAGTCGGTTAGAGATTGGGACTTGAAGATTACGTGCAGACGAAAAAGGGGGCATAACAATGTGAGATAAGGGGAAGGAGCGGAGCTTATGGATGCGCTCGTCTCTGTGTACCACCACGACGCTTTCTGTGTCATTTTGCCGTTAGGATGCGGCAGCATGGCCGTGTACATTCAAAAATACCACAAACATTAGATCGAAAACATGCTGGAAATCTCATTTTCATTTTGCGTGAAGCGACTGCCATCCTTCCTCTGGGGAAGAAGAAACATGATCCTCCAAACGCCTACACCCGTGTCCAAGCTGTGAACTTTTGTTCTATGCTGTGCTGTCCTATTAATACACAAAAATATAGCACGTCCCCTTGAATTGCAAGGACTTCTCCGCCGGAACGTCGCGCTGTTTCCGCTTGTTTCGAGACCGCTGAGGAAAGAATAAAGAGAGCATTAAAAGTTGACTCGTATCAAAAGCTGTAAATGTGGCCGAGCAAGTCCTGGGGTCACATCGAATATCGTCTCGCTGCCGACTGTCCCCCATGAAATTCGCGAGGTCGTTGATGGTAGCCGGTAACCCTGAATTCGGTTCGACGTCTTCACATTCGGACTGTTTGCGCGGTTGCGTGGGGTTTTCGAGAGACAAGATAATTCCGCCGGAGGTGCTTATCAAGGGCCTGTATTCGTTCGACCATTTCTGCACTCGACGTCGGGAACCGCATTAGAGACTGCCTCGCCGCTCAGAGGATCACACAGCAGCCGCCACCCTCGCCCTTCTCGAACGTGAGCAGGGCCGCGCGTGTAGCAGCCTCGAACACGTCGTCGACACCCTCGCCGCTCAGGCTGGAACATTCGAGGTACTTCCTGGCACCAATCTCCTTGGCGGCTGTGTCACCCTCCTGCGAAGTGACGAAGCGCAGGGACTTCTTTCGCATCTCCTCGATGGCCACGGGGTCTTCGCGCAGATCTTTCTTTAACCCGACGAGAATGATGGGGACGCCCGGGCAGAGTCGCGTCACCTCTTCTACCCACTGTCACACGGTTTGTTAGAAATGTCCAACAATAGTTGCGCCTCTCCAGTACGAACCTTATGCCTGACGTTGTCGAGGGAGTCGGGAGTATCAACTGAGAAGCCTATCAGGATGACATGCGCCTTGCTGTATGCCAACGGTCGAAGCCTCTCGTAGTCCTCCTGTCCTGCGGTATCCCATAGTGCCAGCTGCACCGACTTGCCGTCTACTCTGCAATCTGTCACGTAGTTCTCGAAAACTGTGGGGATCTGGGAGCTCGTTAGGGGGTGCTTCTCGGGAGACCACGGGGGCGTTCGGGACTAACGTAATGCTGCGCAAGACTTGTGAGCGGAATTCAACCTGGAGGATCATGCCACGGGCAAGGAAGGGGTAAACTTACTGTGGGAAAGTAGCCGAGGGTGAACACGCTTAGCAAACTAGTCTTGCCACAAGCACCGTCACCAATAATGACAAGTTTCCTAGGAAATACCGTTAGCAAATCGGGTCACCATGCAGAAGCAGTCAAATTTGAGCGCGGTTGCCTGCTGGGAGCAAGGCACGAAGAATCTGGGGTTTCGGTCGGGGAAGGTGGATGGGAGGGGGATCGACGGGACTCGAATCAAGGTACCTTCGGATGACGTTTGGGGGGTTTGCCGCCGCCATGGTTTCGGAGGTGAACTGGGCAGAGGGGGGTTTTGGCGTCGGCGACTCGACTCGAAGTCAATTGAGGGCGTGGGGATTGATGTGATCGCGACGAGGGCGTATTAATGTCCGGATGTAAAGAGAAGAAACGGAATGGCGAGACGATCAAAAGTTGAAAACCAAGGAAAAGATTAGAGTGAAGAAAAAAGAAGGTCTGGATGTCGGTCGACGGTTCGCAAGTGGCAGCTGGGATCGGTGGGTTCGTATGCGGTAGGTCGAGGTCGGTCGGCAGGCGGGCAGAGTCGTATCGGGGGCAGCGGCAGGAGCGGCGGGTTTGGTGGTGGAGGCGACAGGAGCTGCGGCGGATATGTAGGCAAATGTTTGGATTTGAGGTGGGTGGGTGTGGGAGTGTTTTTCTTCTTCGGGGGTGGGATGGGCGAAAAAGAAAGGGCGACGAGCAGCCGGATAACGGAGCTATCGGGGCAGCGGGAAAGAGCTGATGGATGATGAGGGCGATTGGAAGGAGGACCGCGGCAGAGACGGCGAGAGATTGAGGTCAGGCGAAGGCGGAAGAAAGAAGGAGAAGAGAGAGACGGAGGAGGGCGCCCTTGTGTTGTTATTTTTTATTTTTTGTCTCCTTCCCCGTCTTTCTCGGAGGACGGGAGGGTGAGATGAGAGAGGCGCGGAGGAGGCGGCCGTGGTAGGTAAGGCAAGGTAGTTTCGACCAGAGTGACCGTCGGTGTTGAGCAGTGAGCAGAAGGGCGACGGGAGGGAATACGAGCTGAAGAAATTCCTCGGGGGGTAATGGCGCGTTGAAGAAAGAACTGGCAGCAGCAGGCGCGGGTGGACTGGACCAGACAGGACAAGACTGGACTGTGGACTGGATCGATTGACGGTGACTGAGGCGAGGCGCGGCGTCAGGTACCGCAGCTGGAGCAGCGACGCAATGGAGCGGAACAGTGGAGGAGGAACTGGAGCTGGAAGCTGGAGACGGAGCTGGACTGGAGCAGGTTGCAGGCAGCGAGTGGGAAGGGGCAGAGCCGGGGGTGCGGTTGGGACCCTTGCACGCGCGATTGCCAATTGACCTGGGTTGGAGTTGCTGGGTTTGGTGGACGGGGGGCTTGTCCGTATTGTTTATTTGTTGGTCTTGCTGTGTAGTGGATTGGGGATGGATGAATGTTGGGTTGCAGTTGTCCAAACGTAAGTGGGCAAATGTGTGTGGTAGTGTCAACGTGAAAACAAAATGCAGGACGACCGTCTGGTAATAAGGGTTTGCTTTGCTTTGCCTGAGCTGGGCTGGACTGGACCCCGAAGGGGGATAAAAACGTTAGGCAAGGCGAGACAAGGCAAGGCACCACCACCACCTCGACGTACCGGCAGTACTAGTTCGTAGTACTGTAGTAGTAGTAGTAAGGAAAGATAGTGTTAGTACCTGGTGTGTGTGTGTGTGTGCAGATGCAGGCGTAATGCAGGTAAGAGAAGGCCAAGATGTGTACCAAAAGATAGAGTCGCCGTCCTACAGCCCAGCTCCCAGTGTGACGAAAGTGACGAATTACGCTGAAGATGGGAGGAACCTTGGCCGAGGCGACTCCGCGGCGTGGCCCCTTGACTTCAACAACTAAGTTGCCATTCTGGTAGGGGAAACGTGGTGAGCCAGACCTCAGTCCAACAGTCAGTCCATTCAGCCTAGGTCCAGTCTCTCTCCAGGAAGACCGCCAGCTGGTGCGTGTTGTGGCACAGCAAAGCGGACCAAGGGACTTTATTCTTCTCAATCTTCCCACCAAGTGAGCAGCAACAATAACAACTCAACAACAGCGGCTACGAATACATTACCTTACATGCAAGAGCTGCAAGTAAGTTCAGGTAAGGTACCCAAGGTAAGGTATCGTGCATCGCAGGTGCATGTGGATTGGAATCATTGGATGCCCCCCCCAAAGCTGCGCACGAACCAGCCCGGGATCCGACGCCGTGGAGCCTGACAGTCATCCATCAGTCCCAGGACTCCCAGGTCCTGGGCTTCCCCGGGGCCAGTCCAGGTCCTCAGTCCTACGGTCTGGTCTGCGCAGTGTCAGTGTCACCCGCGGTTTGGCGGTCCAGACACCTGGAGGCTGAGCACCGCCCGGAGTGCTGCTCGCCCAGGGGTCTACAGACTTCCGAGGGGGGCGCGGGGGAACTTCGGCCCTCTATTATGCATACATAAAGGGCCCACACAGTACGAGGCCTAGCATATGCTAGGCATATGCTTCGCGTTACCCTCTACACGCGCCTTTAAGAGCCTTCTAGGGCATATACTAAGCATATGCCCAGCATACGCCCCCTAGGGCTTAGGGGCCTTAGGAGCCCTATCCACTAAACCTTAAGGGCTTTAGGGGCCCTATTCTCTAAGCCTTAGGGGCCTTAAGGGCCCTACCCTCTAAGCTTTAGAGGTTATACCTAGCATATACTCAGCATAAGCCCTACCTTAGGGGCCCTGCTTTAGGGGCCCTGCCTTAGGGGCCTTAAAAGCGCGCATATACTAAGCATATACGCAATCATCAATCTATTTTCCCCTCATATAAACTCCAGGGTACTTAGAGAGCTTTTTTGAATTTTACTGTGTAACTTGCATTTCCTTGCATAAGTGTGTGGCGCTTGCACGGCCACAGCCCCCTAGGAAGTCTGTAGACCCCCCTGCGAGGTGTACACCCAGCACCGCCCACGTAAGGTATTCGTGCGTACCATCACAACCCAAAACAAAACGCATGACAAGAGCTCCCGCTGCCCTTCTCAGTCACCCCGAAAAGCCAAAATGAACGAGGCCTCTTTCTCTTCCTCCTCCTCCTCCTCCTCATCATCATCATCATCGTCCCTGGCAATGATGTAAACATCCGAGCCTTCTAACCCGCAAGCCACGGAGCAATAACCGGCACCCATGAACAAAGGTCGGACGTTTTGCCCTTGATGGCTGCGCTAACTTGTAACCGTCCAACCCGCTGCTTCTAAAATAAGGATGTCCCTCTCTCCTGGTCCCCGAAAAACCGAAAATTCAAATACAAATCGTTGAAACCGTCTGTACCTTTACGGTTGACCTAACCTAACTCCCCTAGCCAACTAGAGCTCTCGGGGCCGATCGCCGAGCCTGCGATTTAGCGTCCCTGTTGTTTCCATGTTAATTCTTTCTTTAGTCCTTCATGGACAGACATGATCGAATTTGCCTTGTTTATGCTGGCTTGGGTTGCTCTCGGTATTCTCACCCTGTAGGGATCACCCCCGATGTGTCAACCACACCCTGTCCCTCCTTTTCTTACCTCAACATCACTCATTGCTGCCAATTGAACTTAACCTTACCTCGCCTGACAAGAGACGAC